CGAAAGCTTTTCTTCTCGGAGCCGTCGGGCGCTCCGGGGTTTTCTTCTTGTGCTAGGGAGGTTCCATAGACTTCGGAGGGGTTTAGGGAGGCTAGAGAGAAGTTAAAGAGAGAAAGAGAGGCTTATGGTGTGAAGAAATTATGAAGAGTTCATCTCTTATTTATAGAAATTTTATAGTAAAGTAGTCTCCAAGCATCGTTCATATATTTCACGTACGAGCTCCGTTTTCTATGTTATTTATATACACGCATTGGTATTTACGAGTACTACAACTTTTATTTAGACTCCGTCGGCTAATTCTCCTTCTATCTCATATTTACAAAAACTGTATCGAATTCATCGCGCTCGAAAAGTAGAGACTAAGCTTCGTCCATAACTTTCACATACGATCTCCGTTTTTGTCGATATTTATATCCACACGTTGGTATTTATGAGTACTACAACTTTCATTTAGACCTCATTGGCTAGTTCTCAATCTATCTCGGATTTGCAAAACTGTATCGAATTTGTCGCGCTCGAAAAGTAGAAACTAAGCTTCGTCCATAACTTTCGCATGCGAGCTCCGTTTTTTACTGTCTTTTTATCGTTTAACTCCTATTAATGATATTTTCATTTCTCGTTTAGATTATTTTGGCTGAAAATCGACTGATCTGAAATTCTAATTTTCGGGTTGTGCACTGCTACGCTAAATCTTAGAAAAATTAATAACTTCCTCATACGAAGTCAGATTTGGGCGTTCTTTTATGGACGCTCTTAGTTTAACATATTCTACAACTTTTGTTTAGATTACTAAGGGTAAAAAGTCCTCCATTGTCAATTCACTATTTATGTGTTCCGGTGTCGTGTTGGTTTGCCGTAAAACTTCGACGGGCCATAACTTCTTCTTTATAACTCGGATTTTGACGTTCTTTGTACGTACGGAACCCTTTGTAACATGTACTACAACTTGGTTAAGATTATTTATTCTAAATAATCTTTTGTCGAAAAGTCATTTTCGACCCCTATTATCTCTAAATTGACTAGCCCAGATGTACGGGCGTTAAAATTTGAAACTCCTAGATCTTTTGAGATTAATTAAACTTTTCAATGGAATGTTTCAATCTCGAGTGTGCCCTTCAGGTTTTGTGACTGGGATGCCGAGGATCACAAAACAAGGTGTGAATAACCATGCAAATATACTTGGTACCCTTAAGTGTTTACCCCTCAATCGATGTGTCGGATAACCACACACGTTCTATTGATACTATGATAAACATTAAGTTACCCTTTTCCTACCTTGTTAAATATGAGTTAGTGTGCCGGTTAACCACACACGCTCCACTAACCGACTTAAACAAAGTGCAAAGTGTAATTTCATGGATTAGCACCTTATTCACATTTTCCTAAGTAACTAAGATTGGGTATTTATAAAAGGTTTAGTTACTTAGTATTTATCATTAATACTTTTAATGAAGGGAGAATTATAGTCCTTGTCCTACCCATTCGGCTAACGACCCTCCACCAGTCAAGGAAGCGGTGGGTGAGAGTGGACACCCATTAAACTGTCATTTTATAGACAGTAACATTATAGCCCCCTTATAGACCGGCTTCATGAATGAAGCCTACTAGCAGTAAGACTGATTTTACTCTTATACATATATTAATATTATAAAGTTTAAAGGTTGAATTTTAACTTTTAAAATTCTAAGGGCTAACTTGGAATTAAAGTATTCATAAGTGAAAACTTTTCAAATTCCAAAACTTGGGAGCAAGTTTTGAAACTATTTAAAACTAATTAATTCCATAACTTATGTGTTTAAAGTAGTTTTAGTTAAAAGACTCTTCAAGTTCCATAACTTGAGGACAAGTTATGGAACACTTTAAACTAATAAAAGACTGTAACTTTTATTTTATTTTGTAACTTATGGAATTAATTAAGGTTACACATTTTTTTTTATTGAAGAGACTCTTGAACCTCCATAACTTGAGGACAAGTTATGGAGCCATAAAACCATTTAATGGGGACAAGACTCTTCATTTTGTAACCTATTACAACTTTTATGAGTTTTAAGAAACTTAAATGTGACTTTTCAAGTAACTTGAGGACAAGTTACAAAAACACATTTTATAATCAACTCTTAGATTAAAATGGATTGAAAACATATTATCACATAATTTTCTATTAATCTAAATCAACTCATAAGATCGAAATAATTCAAAATAAAAAAACTTTTGGATTCCATAACTTATGGAGTTTAATGTTTGTTTAATGATGAAACTTTTCATGCTCCATAACTTAAGAATAAGTTATGGAATTCTTTAAAACATTAACACCAATTTTTGTAACTCCATAAAAAAACTTTGAATCAATTTTTTTAAACCTTTTCATATCCATAACTTATGGAGGTTTCAAAAAACTCTTTAGATCAAACTTTTAAAACTAATAAAATAATCATATCATTTTATCTTTTACTAAATTTGACCTAATTTAACTCATATAACAAATGATTCAAATTTTACAAATAATTAGTTTTTCACAAAACCAAGTAATTATCTTAAAATTTGACAAACGTCAATTTTTTTCCAACTTTGAAAATAAAATATTTGCATCAATATAACAAAAAACAACCCATGGCTCTGATACCACTGTCGGGTTTTGAGGATTCTAACACTCCTAAGTGTACATGCAACCCTAAATACCTTGGATCTATGTTTTCTCTATTATACATACAAATATGAACTTTCCAAGGTATTCATCCTAACAAGCATAATAACATTGATTCATATGAATATATCAAGTTAGAATTATATACCTCTTTGATGTAGAATGTCTTCATGAAGCTTGAGTGCCTAGTGCCCCAAGTGTGACACCTCAAATGGTTCACACAACACAAAATAGACTTGGAATAGATTAGAGATAAATCCACACTTCATAAAAATTGGCTAGCCCTGCATTCTCACACATATAGTGGCCGATTTTGTCAACAATAAGATGCTTATATAATTGGTGACAATTAGGGTAAACCCTAATTTTCATGGCTTTCCATTTCCTTGGATCCATGGGTTCAAATACACCATGGAGCATCTTATGGGTTTTAGCCCAACTTGACAATCCATGAAGCATTAGCCCACTATACAAGTATGGATGATTTACACAATCAACCAATATATTTAATTAGTCTTCTTTTGATCACTTAATTAATTCTTGATAAATACTAATTAAATAATCTTATTAATATATTAGAACTTATAATATATTAACAAACCTTAAGTGTTATTTCTCTCATTATAGTCTATCCAAATGCATGATGCCATGCAACTCAAATGGACCATGTCGGGTCGGGTCAAGTCTTACCAATTATAGTTATGCACTTAGACATTAATCCAATAGTTATACGTGCAAGTGATCCAAAAAAAATGCCCTTTTATGGTTCGTGCTTCATGGATAAGTACTGAGAAATCATTCCTGATGAAAAAGATTAATGACAGGCATACATTTGTTAGGAATTTTGGTAGTTCGAGACTTATGAATCCAACTTAGTTAGCAAAACTATTTATGAAAGAACTAGTAAGGAAACCAAAGTTAAAATGCAAGGAAATGCAGCCAATAATTCAAAGTAAATTTCATTATAAGGTCTCATAGTTAAAGTGTTATAGATCAAGGTGTAGGGCACTGCCCTTAATTCATGGCAAATTGAGTAACCATTATGCAAGAGTGTAGGATTATAGACATGAACCGATGAGGTCTAATCTAACTAGTATAGTTAGGGTTTCTGTTAACCTAAACCCTGATCAGACCACAACTTTTCATAAAATGTATATGTGTTTTAAATCAAGAAAAGAGGGTGGAAGATAAGGTGGTGTAGGGTTATATGATTGGATGGCTATTTTTAAAGGGACAATGCAAGGGTGTGCTGCTAACTAAAATTTTCAAAGATGAAAATAATCAAATTTAACCTATAGCATGGGTTATTGCTGAGGTTGAAAACACGGTTGATTGGAAATGGTTATTGGAACTAGTTAGTGAAGATCAAGACAAGGTAATGACAAGGTCCTTTATTTACATATCACCTATTGTACTTGCTAATAATAGTTACTAATATACTTGTTCATGTACTAGGTTCTTATTAAAGAAGCAAAGGAAATACCCATGTTGGCAAGGGATTATGTGTTATTATTGATCAACACAAGGTAATGACAAGGTCATTTATTTACATATCACCTATTGTACTTGCTAATAATAGTTACTAATATACTTGTTCATGTACTAGGGTCTTATTAAAGAAGCAAAGGAAATATCCATGTAGATTACAGACAATGTGCTAGGCATATTTATGTTAATTTTAGGAAAGTATATAGTGGCATAGAATTCAGAAACATGTTTTGGCTAGCGGCAAAATCCACAAAAAAGGGGGTTTCAAGATAAATATGGAAAGGATCAAGACTTTAAGTGAAGGTTCTTATGATTATCTTCAAAGGGGTATAATAAAACTTCTTGCAAAAATCCAAAGGTTGTTCTTGAACCAAAACCCAAAAAGAAAATAGGCAAGACTAGGTTAGATCCTGATTTCACTAACCATACAGGATGGAAGAGGTGATAGATGAGGAAACAGAGGTGGGGTAGTGGATCTGGTGGAATAGGCAATACAAGTGGTGGCAGTGGATCTAGTAGAAGAGCAATAGAGGTTGTGCTATGAGATGTAATGGAACAGTGAATACCAATTTTGGTGAGGGAACTTCTAAGTTTCTAAATGTTGAGAGTGAAAATGAATTAACTCCTACTATTAATAATAAGGTTTGAAATGTAGTGAGACCTAATATGGTGAGTCATGAAGTTGACAATGAAGTTAGAGTGGATGTAAAGAGTGATATTTAATTTATGAGAGAGCCAATTACACTATAGAGGAGAATTTGGATTGTCCTTGAATCAATGAAGCAGATTTGGATGAATTTGAAGGTGTAAAACAAGTACATGTAGAGCTTGATGTATCACAGGTATGATTTATAATGTTTAATTTTTTATGTTTAATTTCCCTAACAATATTTTGTTATGGTTGTTACAAGCTTTAGGATTTCCTAGTCAAATTACTATAGAAACAGTCTTTGAAAGTCAACCATCTGGAGTTAAGGTGATGGATCAAGAGGATATGGGTGAGGAGGACATGGATCAACATGATATGGCTGAGGAGAGCATGGATCAACATGATATGAGTCTAAAGGTCATGTATCAAGAGGTCATGGATCAAGAGGACATGAATAAGGAGGAAATCAATACATACAGAATGGGTGTACAGGGGATGTGTAACATCCGGAATCCCAGGTATATTATTCTAATATTTTATTTTTGGAATTTGTGAAGGAACTCGGAGAGTTGATGCTTAGACTCGCCGAGTAGGGCCGCGGATTATCATCCGGGTTCGCGTTGGACTTGGAGAGTCCACGCTGTTTAATGAAACCCTAATCCTCCAGGGTTGGATCCTATTTAAGGGCACTCTTAGCCTTCCATTGCGGCTAACAGTCCCTTGAGAGCACCCTAAGTGAGATAGATCGTTTGGGAGGAAGGAGAAGCCATATTTGATCTTTCTATCTTTGGTTTAGCAAGAATAAGGTGATCAAGAGCAAGAGGAGACTGAAGGAGGTGTGATTCTAGTGGTTTCAGAGTCCAGAGACTTCAACTTGAGGTATTTATTCGGACCTTCTTCAGTTTTGGTATTGATTCTTAGAGTTAGGGTTTTCTAACCTCTTTTGAGGATGATTATGTGGAGCAATTGGTCCCTTATCGAGTTTATGCTTTGGATCTGGACTCAAAGAGGTCCAGAGACCTTAACCCTTGGAGCTTTATGAGTTATCTTGGGAGTTATGAGCTTAGGATGCAATTTTTAGGCCTAAATCACCAAATGATACCATCTAGATGATATATGAGTATCAAGGTCTGGACTTTGCGTGATTATTATGCTTGGGAAGGACAGATCTATGGATTAGAGGAACAGATGTGACCTCAGGAGGTCAATGAAGTTTGTGCATGGCATGTACTCACCGAGTTGTTCTTGAGACTCGACGAGTTGAGTCGGGGTAGCCCCGCGATTCTTACCTGAGGACTCGTCGAGTAAAGGGAGGGACTCGACGTGTTAAATGGGACTAAAGAGTTAAGTGGACACAGGTGGACTCACCGAGTCGGGTCAAAGTTTGACCGTTGACTTTGGTTGACTTTTAGGGTTTGGTCAACAATGAGGGCCTTTGAGCCAAAGGAGGGGTAAAATGGTCTTTTACCCTTCTGAGGGTGCTTAGAGAGAGTAGAGTCTAGTTCTGAGAGTTATATTTATGAGAGTATTACTTTATGTGTTTAGGCGGACGCTAGATCGTATTTCTACCGAGTCAGTGATTTACCGGGACATCTGAGGTGAGTCTTTTCACTATACTTTACCTGGAGTGGTAATTATAGTTATGTGCCAGATTTATCGTATGCTATTATGTAATGTGCTATACTGCATTGTTTCTATGTGGTTTATATCATGTGGATATCAGAGTATATCAGAATTAGAACCGAAAGGTTCACAAAGTTAGGACCAGAGGGTCCATAGAGTTAGGGCCCAGAGAATTATAGCCTCGAGTGGCTAGTATGTGTTATGTATGGTATTTTGGGGAACTCACTAAGCTTTACGCTTACAGTGTTATGTGTTATGTGTTTCAGGTACCAGTGATGATCGCGGGAAGGCGCCGGCATGACTCGTACACACGCATGGATTTTTATGTATTTGATCTTGGGAAATATTTTTGTGAACCAAAGTATTGATACAATAGGATTTTGTTTTTAAATGTGTTTGATAAAATGTGTTTAAAAATGTAAAAATTTGTTCTAAATTTTATGGTGTTACAGGATGGCTTAGGAGGGAATCAATGAAGATGGCATGGATATAGAGGGGATGAAACGGGAGGGCCTAGGTGTGGAGGGCATGCATCAAGAGGAAAATAGAATAAGGAGGACAAAAATGAGAATGAGGAAGCCTTCAGAGAGGCTAACAAAAATAATGTTGAAAAAAGTGGTGTTTGTCAAAAATAGGAAGTGGATGGGTTGATCCAACCCACTTAGCTTATATTAGGGTGTTTTTAACCCATGCTTTTGTTAAGAACATGTAAAAAAAAACTTTTGGCTTTGGGCAATTGTTGATAGCCCCTTTTGTTTATAGCCATCTAAACTTTAGGCTTTGGGTCCCTTGATTATCGTTTTGAGCATTTATACAACAATCCATTCAAACTTTTACTAAGATATGGGCCCGAACAACACTTAGTTACTCTACACGGGCCGGCATTGGTGCCTTCGACCTGTTCTTACTAAAGGAAACTCACCTCGTAAGCTAGCTGTGAAATCTCGTGTAAGGAATCTCCGACTGCTGCTCCAGTGACTCCTCAGCTATCATTAATACAATAACACTTAATCAAGATCTGATAATCCTTCCAAGGGTAAAATGACCATTTTACTCCTGGTCAAAGTCAACATTCTGGTCAAAGTCAACGTTCTCAGTTGACTCAATCCGCCGAGTTACTCCATCAACTCGCTGAGTTCTATAAATCAGAACCCTGAAATCGCGATCCAACTTGTTGAGTCACCCCCTGACTCATCGAGTTCCCTGGCTACTCATAGTCACGATTTAGCGAATGAACTCACCAAGTCATCCTCAAACTCATCGATTTCTACCATAATCAGAATCGGGACAACTCACCTCAACTTGTCGAGTCCCCATCTGGACTCGCTGAGTTCCTTAGTTTGTTTGGGCCATCTCAAAGGATTAAGCCCCTACTCTTCAAATCTAATCTCCATACTTCATCTACATACTGGAAATGCCCTTTTAAGGGTAAAGTTTCCAACTTTACCTGCTAATAATCCTTCTTAATGAGTTTAGCTAAAACCCTAGTTCTTTAGGACATAGATCTTGGTCCAAAAGCCATAATACTCCAAACTAAAGCATATTAACATAGATCTAGGCCTTAGACATCATTTGAACTCGTAAAGCTCATAACTTTCCTCCCATGCATGGCCTTTTGGGGCTTAAAAGGCCAAAAGAACACCTTAAAGCTTGCATAGGGCTTCAATGGTCATAAAGTTTGCACCTTTATACCATGAAACCCCCTCTAGACCCCATATCTGAAAGGTAGATCACTTGGGACGTCCATATCCCAAGGACTAGGCTTCTTGGACCAAAAACTCCATGAAATGATAAGAAGGAGATCTAAAAGCTATTAATAGAGGTTGAGGCTTACTTACTAGAAAATGAAGAGGATGAGATGTTGCTTCTAGATCTACAATCTTATCCTGGAATTCTCTAGCTTCTTCTTCTTCTACAAGCTCAAATCACACAAAGTTCACTAAAAAAATGGCTCACAAGCTTACACAAGGCTCTAGGGTTTCGTGGATTAAGGTTTGGGACTTGGAGGCTGGAAATGAGGCCATAAAGTGGGGATTAAGATGCTTAAATAGGGTGAAAAACAGTGAAATTAAGGGTTTCACTCTGGCAGAACTACTCGCCGAGTTGAGGGTTCTCAACTCGTCGAGTAGATTGCTTAAAACTCACGTCCCTTTCTTGTCTCTACTCGACGAGTTTAGGGATACCAACTCGTCGAGTTGCTCTATAAAAATGAATAAATTGTTATTTAATGTGTTCCAGGAATCACGCGTTACAAGACTCCAGGCAAAACAGTCGTGAATAAACTCGTTGCCCCTTCTTGGTGAGCATCATGCCATGTCATGGGCACATCCGAAAAAAAAATGTAATAAGTGGTGGATTAAGTATCTAAGCCATAACTATAATTGGTATATACTTGAATTGATGATATCACAGTCCTTTTGGGGTTGCCCTCAAAACTAGCAATTGGACATGATGACTTTTAGAGAGAGAGAGTGAGAGAGAGAGAGTGAGAGTTTAATTTATTATTTGATTAATAAATTGAAATAAGGAGTTTATTAATATATTATGAAAGTAATAAATTAATTATAAAAGTTATTATTTAATTAATAATTAATCAAAAATTAACTGGAATTAATTTTGGGATTAATTTGATTAATTAAAAGTACATGGATTTTTTGGTTATTTATTGAAAGTTGAAGAAGGAAGGCTCTAGAGCCTCATGGAATGAGGTGGACAAAAGTTCTCTACAGCAAGCCTAGATGATTTCGTCCAAGGCTCCTTGGATAAGGAGATTGGGTTGCTTAGTCACCAAATAAATCAATCTAGGGCTTGTCCCTTAAACCCTAAGTTCAGCCCCAAGATTCCTCAACTATATAAGGCCATCCCTTAACAAACATTTTGTCGGAGAAATAGGAGCAGAAGCAGTAGAAGCTTTAATCGAATCCTTGCTAGCAACAAATCAATTCAACGGATTCTATGAAGTACGAGATAAAGGATGCAAAAATGCATTGACACAAGAAGAGATAGGCAAGAACTTTCAAACACTTCACTCTAAAACAACTACTATGACATCCCCAATTTCACGGCCAGAAAAGATCGATTTGTTTATGCTTTGTTTCATAAATCAGAGTAATCGTTTATAGAAAACAGTTGTGGAATTTGTTCCCAAAGCAAAATGTGATAAGAATTTATCAAAGCATTTCTTTAAAGAAATGTATTTTCATTAAATAACAAAATCCCGGGATGTCATGTTCCGATACCGACCAAAAGCATAAACAGTATAAAATAGACCTTACAACAGTTATTTATAACTACTGATCTATAATCCAAAATCTCTCGTCAAGTCCACCAACTTATACTCTTATGTCGTTACCTGTAATGCAAAGAAAACTGAGTGGGTCAGGCTTGGGAGCCTGGTGAGCATAAAGGGTTTTCAACCCACAATAATACATTTATTATATTCAATTATCAAACAATCAACCCAAATACCCATCCCCATTATCTTCTTTATTTCTTAAGGTTTTACCTTAAGAATCAACTATCCTTTATTCATTTGTTCCTAAGGATTTACCTAAGGAATCGGCACGAAGTCCATTGCTGCCAAAGTTTATCTATCAGGTACTAAATCCATAGCTATCAAGCACTAACTCCATAGTCACAAAGGTTCACTCAACAATAGGTGCTAACTCCATAGTCACCAAGGTTTACTTAACAATAGGCGCTAACTCCATAGTCACCAAGGTTTACTTAACAATAGGCGCTAACTCCATAGTCACCAAGGTTTACTTAACAGTAGGCACTAACTCCATAGTCACTAAGGTTTATACAACAGGCGCTTACTCCATAGTCATCAAGGTTTATACAATAGGCGCTAACTACATAGTCACCAAGGTTTATAAAATAGGCGCTAACTCCATCGTCACGAAGGTTTATACAATAGACGCTAACTCCATAGTCACAAAGGTTTGTACAATAAGCACTACGTCTCATAGTTGCCATTATTTCATCTACCCATCTCAGATAGACAAATAATAGATAACACATAGCACGTATTTCATAGCTAATACTTTATATTTATGTGTTAGAAGAAAGTAACCACACACTCACACCAAACATATACTTAATACATTCAAACAATACTTGTACTAATATCATGTTTATGAAAGGGACTATACACTCAGGCGCTAACTCCATAGTCACCAAGGTTTACTTAACAGTAGGCACTAACTCCATAGTCACTAAGGTTTATACAATAGGCGCTTACTCCATAGTCATCAAGGTTTATACAATAGGCGCTAACTACATAGTCACCAAGGTTTATAAAATAGGCACTAACTCCATCGTCACGAAGGTTTATACAATAGACGCTAACTCCATAGTCACAAAGGTTTATACAATAAGCACTACTACTCATAGTTGCCATTATTTCATCTACCCATCTCAGATAGACAAATAATACATAACACATAGCACGTATTTCATAGCTAATACTTTATATTTATGTGTTAGAAGAAAGTAACCACACACTCACACCAAACATATACTTAATACATTCAAACAATACTTGTACTAATATCATGTTTATGAAATGGACTATACACTCACACGTATAAACAACTTTATATTATACACATAGCACGTATTTTATAAAATACTTCATATCTATATGTAAGATGAAATTGACTATACACTCACTTGATTAGACAATGCTCGGACAACACTACGGCTTGTAAAAGTAGTATTCTTCGGTAGATCTGGAAGATCTTCGCAAAATCTGGGCTCCTCGCGGGTAGAGCTTCGGCTCGGGAATTTCACTTCTCGGGATCTTCGGGCTTCGGGACTCGCTTCAGGTATCGGGATGATACCGGGGCTTCAGGGGTACTTCTTTACACGTAAATTGAGGTAGAACAGGAGAGAGAGGAGAGAAAATAGCAACCCTAAACGGTTGGCCCTTCAAATCTATTTATAGGGCAAAATTGGCCCTTGTCACGTCGTGGCACCTTTTTCCACGTCGTGGGCTTGGTCGTCACTGCATGCGTCATCGTCCACTTGCTCTTTCAGGCTCCAGAATGCGTCAGAAGTCATGCCACATCGTGGCCACTATTTCCACATCGTGGTCTCTAACACAGCTTTAGGGTTCGCGCCCCGAACTTCAGAAATTCATAACTTTCGCATACAAACTCCGTTTTCGACGTTCTTTATATCGATGCGTAGGTGAGATTATGATCTACAACTCTCGTTTAGACTCTGTTGGCTAATTTTGACTTTATTTTTAATATATTATAAATATATTACTTATATATTATTTTTAGTAGGCCGGGACAGGAAAACTTCGTTATAAATTCATAACTTCTTCATCCGACGTCCGTTTTTGCCTATCTTTTTATCGTTTCACTACTATTAATGAGATCTTCGATTCTCGTTTAGATTGCTTCAGCTAAAAACCGCTCGATCTCAAATCAAGTATTCGGGCTGCATATTGC